GAGCCCGCAGGCTCGAGACCCGCCTGGGCAACTTGGTGAGACCTCATCTCTACAATAAATAAAAAATATTAGCCAGGCGTGGTAGCGCGCGCCTGTAGTTCCAGCTACTTGGAAGGCTGAGGCAGAAGTATTGCCGGAGCCCAGCAGGTTGAGGCTGCGTTGGCTGGGAACAGCCACTGCACTCCAGTCTGAGCAACAGAGTGAGACTCCAACTCAAAAAAAAAAAGATGAGTTGGTTAAGAAATTGAGGTTTTGTTTCTGGAATCTCTCACCTGTTCATTGGTCCATATGCCTGTTCTTATACCAATGCCAGGCTATTTTGATTATTGTTGCCTGATAGTAAAATTTAAAGTCTGTAAGTGTGATGCCTCCTGCTTTATTTCTTTTGCTAAGGATTGTTTTGGGTATTCGTGGTCATTTATGTTTCCATATGAATTTCTGTGTTGTCATTTCCAGGTCTGAGAAGAATGATGTTGGTAATTTAATAGGTATTGCGTTGAATCTGTAGAGTGCCTTTGGTAGAATGGACATCTTAACAATGTTGATTCTTCCTATCCATGACCATGAAATATTTTTCCATTTATTTGTGTCTTCTTGGGTTTCTTTGAGCAGTGTTTTATAGTTTTCATTGTAAAGGTCTTTCATGTCTCTGATTAGGAAGATGCCAAGGTATTTCATTTTTTTGTGTGTGGCTATTGTGAATGGGATTGTTTCTCTGCCTGTTTTTTGTTGGTGTATAAGAATGCAACTGTCTGCCCGGCTTGGTGGCTCAACCTGTAATCCTGCGCTTTGGGAGGCTGAGATGAGTGGATTGCCTGAGCCCACAGGTTCGAGACCCGACTGGGCAACTTGGCGAGACCTCATCTCTACAATAAAATCAAAAAATTAGCTGGATGTGGTAGCACGCTCCTGTAGTTCCAGCTGTTTGGAAGGCTGAGGCAGAAGGATCTCCGGAACCCAGCAGGTCGAGGCTGCGGTGGCCGGGAGCGTGCCACTGCACTCCAGTCTGGGCGACAGAGTGAGACTCCAACTCAAAAAAAAAAAAAGAATACGACTGTCTTTTGCACATTTATTTTGTATCCCAAGACTTTGCCAAGTCTTTTATCAGTGCAAGGAGGTTTTCGACATATTCTCTTGGATTTTTGAGGTATAGGATCAGGTCATCAGCAAAGAGGAGTAATTTAACTTCCTTTTTTCCATTTGGATACCTCTGTTTTCCTTCTCTTGTCTAATTGCTTTAGCTAGGACTTCCAATACAGTGTTGAACAGGAGGGGTGAGAGTCGACAGCCTTGTCTTGTTCCGGTTTTCAGAGAAAATGCTTCCAGTTTCTGTCCATTGAGTAATATGCTGGCTGTGGGTTTATCATAGAGGTCGCTTACTATTTTGAGGTATGTGCCTTCTATGGCTAGATGTTCGATGGTTTTTATCAAGAAAGGAAGCTGGATTTTATCAAAAACTTTTTCTTGTGGTTCTTGTTTTTACATCTGTAGATGTGGTACTTGGGTTTTTAATTTTAAGATATGTACTTGTTTTAGCATGTATTGGAAAGAAAAGAGACTATCAGACCACCATTTCACAAACATTGCTTAGAAGAGAGTCCATTTAAAGAAAAATGTTAATATTAATATAGGTAGAGTGTGGGTATGGCAAAAATATGCAGGTAGTCCACGAATTAGTCCATTTAGAGTATGCTAGCCCAACTCTGTTCAGATGGATAACTGAAGCCCCAGAAGCTGCAGTCCCCTTAACCATATCTTTGTCAGGGGCTTTTCCTTTCTCCCCAACCCTTCATGCAAACATAAGCAGTTTCTTATCACAGCAGCTTGTTCAGTTGGTCTAAAAGCTTGCTAATCCAAAGGTACCCCATGCATTGCTCTAAATCCCAATTGGCATGGAACATGGAAAACTATTCCCAATGAGGACAGCAGAGCAATAGCTTCTGAGAAGTACAGGGGTCAGAAAGTTGAGCCTCTTCCCCAAAGGACTTAGCTGTGGTTCTCTGCATTGCTGTTCCTGGAAATCTTCTCCTCTCCTCCAAGTGGTACTGTAGGACAGGAACACCCTTGGAATTTCCAAGCCACATGGACCCACATAGACTTTGCTGTGGGTGTCATCTGGGGCTGATGCAACCCTAGCTCTGCTTCGAGGCCTGCTTGCAAACTCGTAGCAGATCCACATGTTGATTCATTTTCCTTCCTCAGAGTGAAAGAATTTCTCCCCTTCTCCTTCTTGACTTTCTGTTTTTCAGAATGAACTTTTCATTCCTTTTCTTGAAAGTGGACTACCACAATTTGACTGTTTTGAAATTTGAAAAGCCCTTTGCTTCCCTTACTAATGAACATGATGGTTTACAGTTTAAAATAAGAGGTAGATCATTCTCCAGTAACTTACTTGGGATTTCTGGACAGCACTTGCAGGAACTATTGGATTACGATAAAGTTTAACCAACATGAGGGGGTTGTGAAGAAGCACTCTCATTCAGTCTTGGTAGGAATATAATTTTGAAGCTGTTGGTGCAATCTCTAGAGAGTAATTTGAGAAGATCCATGAACATTTAAAATGCATGAACATATACCCTTTATCTTAGCAATTTTCTCTCTAGGGATTCATCTTTTAGATATAAATCCATGTGAACCAAAAAAATTTCAGGGCATCCATAGCAGAATTATTTATAATGGCAAAAGATTGGAAATAACCTAAATATCCATCAGTAAGAAATTGGTTAAATTATAATAAGGACTTATGTTAGAATTTTGTGTAGTTAAAAAGAATGGGGCAGCTACAAATGTGTGACTATAGCAGAATTTTCAAGTTACATTAGTGAAAAAGCAAGGTTCAGAACAAAGTGAGCTATTATTTGTGTAAGAAAAAAAATAAGCCATTTATATACATGTGTATAGAATATTTGTGCATAGAATATCCTTGGGAGGACACACAAGAAACTGCTAATTATTATCCCTGATAAGGAAGACTGAGAGAGAAGGATAAGAGGAAGGAGACATTGTTTTTACATTATATCTTTTGTATTATTTGAGTTACTTTTACCATGTGTATGTATTTTAACAATTTTAAAAGTTTAACCTACAGTAAGTTTTAACAGTAAATTATTTTTTATTTTTCTAATTATCAATATGTAATTTAATAGCTGGTGAACTGTAAAATTTGAGAAATGTATGCCTTTACTTTATGTACCATTAGAAAGATGCTAACAGCTTCATTTCTTTTTCTCTTCTAATAGCTCACAGACACAGACCTAATTAAACAGTGTATAGATGAATGCACAGCCAGGATTGAAATTGGACTGCATTACCAGATTCCTTACCCAAGGCCAGTAAGTGTAACTCCAGTTAACAGCTTGTAGGTCCCTATCCTCATTGACCCGGTTATTTCCAGGAATGTGTACCAAGAGGGCTAGTGCTTGCTGAGAAGCCTAGAGCTACCGTGGCAGGCATGTTGGCGACAAGCTATCCTTGCATGCTGCCAACTCATCACAACAAACTAAAATGTCAATGAATGCGTGATTTTTCTTACTTATACAGCTTTCCCCACATTTGGAAGGGAAAACTAGCTCACATTTATGTAGCTTTCTCTTTTGACTTTCATCTTTTTTATGAAAATGATTTTCCTTTATAAAAGGTTTATTACTATCAAAAGAATAAAGTGGGTTTTTTTTCTTTTTTTGAGGTGAAGTCTCACTCTGTCGCCCAGACTGGAGTGCAGTGGCACACTCCCAGCCACCGCAGCCTCGACCAGCTGGGCTTCAGCGATCCTTCTGCCTCAGCCTTCCAAATAGCTGGAACTACAGGCGCACGCTACCACACCCGGCTAATTTTTTGATTTATTGTAGAGATGAGGTCTTGCCAAGTTGCCCAGGCGGGTCTCGAACCCACGGGTTCAATCCACTCACTTTGGCCTCCCAAAGCGGAATTACAGGCTGAGCCACCGAGCCTGGCCAAAAGAATAAAGTTAAAACATTAAAGTAATGCATAAAGTAGAAAGTGAAAATTGTCAAAAATTCTCACCCTGTGGAAGTGACCACTTATCTGTTAGAATGGAAACTGCCACATGAAATTGCCAATCTTCCAAGCTTTGATCTACAAAAACAGCAATTTTATATTGTATTGGCTCAACCTAATAGTTTAGTAATACATCCTTTTAGTCTTTTTTCTATACTCATGTACATACATTTTCTTTACATATGTGGGATTCTGGGTATACTGTTTTATTGCCTACTTATTTTACTTCCTTTCTTCTGGATATCTTTGTATAAAGCTACTTCAGTCTTTTTACGTGATTGCATTGTATACAATTGTAAGAATGTGCCATTGTGTTAGTCAGGGTTCTTCAAAGAAACAGAACTAGCAGGTTAGAGTTAGATGGAAAGAAGAAAGGAAGGGAGGAGAGAGGTAAAGGGGGGAAAATAATGTGTTTTGTTTTGAGACAGGGTGTCACTCTGTTACCCAGGCTGGAATGCAATGGCACAATCATAGCTCGCTGCAACTTCAAATTCCTGGGCTCAAGTAATCCTCTCACTTCAGCCCCCTGAATAGCTAGGACTACAGGTGTGTCACCACACCCAGCTCATTTTTAAATTTGCTTGTAGAGACAGAGTCTTGCCATGTTGTCCAGGCAGGTTTCAAGCTCCTGGACTCAAACAGTCCTCCTGCCTCAGCCTCCCAAAGTGCTAGGATTACAGGTGTGAGCCACCACACTGGCCTAAAAGGAGGTTTATTATGAGGAATTCACCCTCTATATATCTAGATATATCTAAAAAGAGATTTATTATGAGGAACTGGCTCATGTGGTTATGGAGACTGAGACGTCTTATTTGCCATCTGCAAACTGGAGACCCAAAGAAAGCTGGTAGTGTAATTCAGTCTGAGTCTGAAGGCCTGAGAACAATGTGGGGAGGGGAGGCAATGGTGGATATCCCAGTCCCAGGGCCAGAGAAGAAGAGATGTCCCAGCTTAGACAGGTAGGCAGGAAGGAGGCTTCCTCTGCCTTTTTTGCTCTATTCAGGCCCTCAATAGATTGGATAATACCCACCCACACAGGGGAGGGCAGTCTTCTTCACTAAATCTGCCGATTCAAATGCTAATCTCATCCAGAAACATCCTCACAGACACACCCAGAAATAATGTTTAATCTGGGCACCCCATGACCAGTCAGGTTGACACACAAAATTAACCATCACAGCCATAATTTAACCAGCTCTCTATTGGTAGGCATTTAGTTTAGTCCCACTTTTCCACTATGCACTGAACATCTTTATATACACACTTTTGCTCCCTTCTTTGGATCCTCATCTTGCTGTATGATCCAAAGTCGTTTATATAAGCTGCTGCAATGATTATGAGTATGAGCCTTAATTCATCATTGTTCTTATTATTCAGATTCATCTGCCTCCAATGGGCCTCACGTCAATACGAGGCCGGGGACTTCGAAGCCAGGAGAAACTGAGGAAACTTTCTAAACCAGTATATCTCAGATCTCATGATGATGTTTCCTAATCCAGAAGAAAAATGTATTCCTGGAATGATGGGCCAACTAGGTCTTGAATGTAAACCAGATGGCAAAACACTTCTTGGTTAGGAGCAAATGTTCAAATATCTTTTTAAAACCTCCCAAACTGATTCTTACCCCATGATGTGTGCTTACATATTCCTAGAGTTTGTCAGGGTCTTGCTGCCTGAATGGATGGCATTAACCCTAGAAGTCCTGGGCCTTTCTATCCTCACTAAAGTCATCTGTGGAAACAAGATTAAGGTTTGTGGGAGAAAGGCTGAAGGATGAAGAAGCTTTCCATGAGGCTGCCATTAACTGCATGTGCCAGCTGTTGCAAAGAATTTAGCCAGTTGCTGGAATTTCATGACTACTGTAAAACCATGTACCACTCTCAGGATATTTTTAGGCTTTTTTTTCCATAATAGACGTATGCTTAAGTTAGTGGGGGTTTTTTGCATATGCTTTTTTTGTTGTCTTTTGACCTTTTCAATTTCCAGGTAAACTCCGCTTAAAAAGTACATCATTGGATTGACCATGGTTTTCATGGAAATTTTACATGAGCCTCATTTCTGTCTTAGTTAAATGCACACTCTTTTTTTTTTTTTTTGAGTTGGAGTCTTACTGTCGCCCAGACTGGAGTGCAGTGGCCGCTCCTGGGCACTGCAGCCTCGACCTGCTGGGCTCCAGCGATCCTTCCGCCTCAGCCTTCCAAGTAGCCGGAATTACAGGCATGCGCTACCACGCCCGGCTGATTTTTTGATTTATTGTAGAGATGAGGTCTCGCTGCCCAGGCAAGTCTCGAACCCGCGAGCTCAGACAATCCACTCACCTCAGCTTCCCAAAGGCACGGGATTACAAGCTGAGCCACCGAGCCCAGCTCACACTCTTATTTTTAAGTCTGTGATTACTTAGGATGCACTTAGGATGTGAAAAGCTCATTGAAACTCATACAGCATTTGTTATGAGTATATTACTTTAACATAATTGAAAAGTATGAGGTCCAAGCTGGCTTTCAAATTATGTCTAAACAGAAATGGGATAAATGGAGATGAAAAATGTAAAGGATCTATCCCCCTGTGTGTGTGGAGTCAGGTGAAAGTACTATGGAAAGTTGTTGGTACATCAGTGTCATTCCCTCTTACCTCCAAATAAGATGGCCATCACCAATAAAGGCAAATCTCTATCAATTTTGGTCTTTCTGTATTTTTTTTTTTTTTTTTTTAGTTGGAGTCTCACTCTGTCATCCAGACTGGAGTGCAGTGGCTGCCCCCGGCCACCACAACTTCGACCTGCTGGGCTCCGGCGATCCTTCCGCCTCAGCCTTCCAAGTAGCTGGAACTACAGACGCGCGCTACCACGCCCAGTTAGTTTTTTTGATTTATTGGAGAGATGAGGTCTCACCAAGTTGCCTCCCAAAGCGCGGGATTACAGGCTGAGCCACCGAGCCTGGCCCTCTCTGTATTCTTATACCTCTTTGTACTCAAGGTATTAAGGGGTTTGGCAAGGACATAGAAAACCAATATGATACTGTATCAGTATCATACATATCACATTTAACAGGAATGCAGCTATAGGCCTGTCTTAGTCTATTTTGCACTGCTATAATGGAATATCTGAGACTGGGTAATTTATAAAGAACAGAGGTTGACTTCTTACAGTTCTAGAGGCTGGGAAGTCCAAATTCAAGGGGTCCACATCTGGCAAGGACCTTGCTTTGTCATTACATGAGAAAGAAAAGAGGGCAAAACTCACTTTTATAACAAACCCATTCTTGCTATAATGGACCCACACCCACAATAATGACATTAACCCACTCATGAGGGCTCTCTCTCTTGACCTAATTTTGAGGGTCATTCAAACCATAGCATTCTACCCTTGTCTCCCAAAATTTATGTCCTTCCTCACATGCAAAATACATTCATTCCATGCCAATAGCATCAAAAGTCTCAACTTGTTTCATTATAAATTCAAGTCCAAAGTCCATAATCTCATTTAAATCTGATATGGGTGAGACTCGGCACAATTCATCTCGAAGTAAATTTCCCTCCAGCTGTGAGCTTGTTTTATCTACTTTTAAAATACAATGGTGGGACAGGCATCGAATAGACATTCCCATTCCAAAAGAAAGAAATGGCAAGAATAAAGGTAACTGGTGCAAGTAAGTCCAAAGCCCCAGAGGAAAAGCAATATTAAATGTTAAGATCCCAGAATAATCTCCTTAGACACCCATTTCCCACATCCTGGGGTAGGGTTTGGCCCCCAAGACCTTAGACAGCCCTGTCCCTATGGCTTTGCTGGGCTCAGTCCACCCAGCAGCTCTCATGGGTTGGAGTCTCATGCCTGCAACTGTTCTAGGGTGGTGTTGAATACTGGTGGCCTTACAGTTCTGTGATATTGGAGACTCGCCCACTCCTCTGGCTCTACTAGGCATTGCCCTAGTGCAGACTCTGTGGTGACCTTGCTCCTACACCTCTCCTTGGCATTGCCTTAGTGGGGGTTTTCTGCAGTGGCTCTGCCCCTAGGACAAGTCTGCCTGGACCCCTCAACTGTGACAACCTTTGTAGTCTAGGTGACACCTGTCATGGCACCACAGCTCTTGCATTCTATGTGCCTGCAGAATTAGCACCACCTGAAGGCCACCAAGGCTTATTATGGCTTGTACTTTTAAAATTATTTTTTGATACATCGTAATTGTATTTATAGGTACAGTTTAATGTTTTGACATATATGAAGAGAACCGAAAAAACCAGAATTTTTTTTCTTTTTTGTGTTTTTGAGTTGGAGTCTCACTCTGTCACCCAGCTAGAGTGTAGTGGCACACTCATGGCCACTGCAGCCTCGACCTGCTGGACTCAGGCGATCCTTTGGCCTCAGCCTTCCAAGTAACTGGAACTACAGGCATGTGCCACCACGCCCGGCTAGCCTTTTTTGATTTATTGTAGAGATGAGGTCTCACCAAGTTGCCCAGGCTGGTCTCAAACTCAGGCAATCCTCTCACCTCAGCCTCCCAAAGTGCTGGGATTATAGGTGTGAGCTACCATGCCCGGCCTCAGAATTTACTAATAAAAAATTGTACTTTCATTCTTACATGTTTAAACTTCAGTCACCTTCGAAGTACTCTTCATTTGATGCAATACACCTACCTATTGAGATGCTTTTTCCACTGCTCAAAACAGTTTTTGAACTCATCAGGTTTGATAACCCTTTAGTACTTCTGCTGTTTTTTTGTTTCCCTCTTCCACATGGACAAAACATTTCCCTTTAAGGACTTTTTTCATTTTGGGAAACAAAAAGTCACTCAGAGCGAGATCAGGTGAACAGGGATGGTGGAGCATGGGGTTATGCTATTTTTGTTCAAAAACTACTGAACACTCATTCGTGTTGTGAGCAGGTGTGCTTGTAAATCACTCATGAAATGGACAAACGTGTTGAAAGAATCACCAAAAAATTTTCACTGAAGTGGAATGCAGCCTTTCACATCACTAGCTGGTACACTGATGCCAATGGGTTCTTAGAATACGTACCTAAGCAGGGGAGGTCTATACACGAGGGGTCTGCCCTCCAAAAAGAGAATTCCAGTTTTGGGTGGTCCCCCTTTGCATATATTGCATTTATATGATGCTGCTTCCACATTTTCCAGTATTTGTATACCGAGCTGCAGCTTGTACTTTCTTGAGCAATAGGTCAAACCACACCTGGGCCCACCTGAGCCATAGTTGGGGTGGCCAAGGAAAGCTTGGAATGCAGAGAAGAGTTCTAAGGCAGTGAAGGGCAGCAAATGCGAAGTTACCACAGCCATCTTTCTGGAACCCTTGCCCTTAAGGTCCTAGCTTGCCTCAAAGATCTCTGAAATAACTTTGGGGTCATGTTTCCATTGTCTTGATGATTAGAATCTGGCTGGTAGAATCTTAGCCAAACCATTAGTATCCTTTCCTGAACCATGGTTTTTTCAAAAGCTGAGTTTTCCAAATCTTTACATTCTGCTTTCCTTTTAATTATCAACTTCATCTTGAAATGTATCTCATTGTAAACAGCTAGAGGAAGTCATGAAGTACTTTGAACACTTTGCTTCTTCAATATTTCTTCTGCCAGGTATCCGAGTTCATCTCTCTCAAGTTCTGTCTTCCACAAAGTCCTATGACATGGACCCAATTCCACTAAGTTCTTTGCAACTGTATAATAAGGACAGCCTTTACTCCAGTTTTCAATACCTTATTTTCATCTGAGGCCTCATCAGAATGACCTTTACTGTCCAATATTCTACCAACATTCTGATCAGGACCACTTAAGTAATCCCTAAGAAAATGTAGTCTTTTCCTATAGCTCTTCTAAGCTCTCACCAGAATTTCCCTTAATTTTCCATTCACAACTTGCTCCTCCAAACTCTTCCAGCATCTACCCATTACCCAGTTCCAAAGCTGCTTCCATATTTTCAGTTATTTGTTATGGCAACAGCTCCACTTCTTAGTACCAACGTTTTTGTCTTTGTTTTGTACTATCACAGGATACCTGAGACTGAATAACAAGAGCAGAGACTTATTTCTTACAGTTCTGGAGGCCAGGAGGTCCAAATTTGAAGGGACTGCACTGGTGAGGGACTTTTTGCAGTGTCATAACATAGCAGAAGTCATCACATGGTGAGAGACAGCAAGAGAGGACTGAACTCACTTTTATAACCCACTTCTGCAATAACAACGTTAAGCCCTCACGTGACGCGAGAGCCCTCATGACCTCATCACTTAATCACTTCTTTTTTTTTCTGAGGTGGACTCTTACTCTGTCACCCAGGCTGGAGTACAGTGGCACGCTCCTGGCCACCTCGACCTGCTGGGCTCTGGCAATCCTTCCGCCTTAGCCTTCCAAGTAGCTGGAACTACAGGCACGTACTACCATGCCTGAGTAATTTTTTGATTTATTGTAGAGATGAGGTCTCATCATGTTGCCCAGGCTTGTGTCGAGCCTGCAGACTTAGGCAATCCTCTCACCTCGGCCTCCCAAAGAGCTGGGATTATAGGCTTGAGCCACCGTGCCCGGTCACCTAATCAAGTCTTAAAGGTCCCATCTCCTCTCAACACTGTTGCACTGGAGATTGAGTTTCTAACATACGAACTTGAGGACACATTCAAACCATCGCATGGCCTTTGACAGGGAGAGATAGAGAAATTTAAATGTGTGGGCAGATGTGTAGTGAGCACATATCCCAGCCTAGCTTGACTTGGGAGACACGAATCTGCTATTTCTTTAACCACTGTCCTTCCAGCTGGTCTTCATTGTGGGGGCCTATAGGTGATTCTAATGTTCAAGGTTAAATATTTCCCATGCAACATAGGGCCTATGAGATTAAGTCAACTACTTTATCTGGTGGTTAGCCAATTAGTGATCTATTCCTGCATTGGAAGAACTGTTTGTGCTGAGCCAAGTAAGACATGGTTTGCCCGTTTACATCGTGGTTCTTTCTAAGTAACTCAAGGTGGTTTTGTCTATGTCCAATCTTTGCCTAACTCCCCTGAGCATAGAAATCACCTTTCTCACCCAGCCTCCTCCAAGATGGAAGTCCATCTGATTGTTAGTCAGTCTTTGAGCATCTTCCACATGTCAGGAATCTTACCTAAAT